AACCATAAGTCCGGAAAGTCGTTTCCGAGTTAGCTACTTTTATGTTAAAAAAATCGTAATTTGTTTTTTATAATCATAATTTATCTTATTGTTTTAAGATTAATAAACCTCATTTTGAACTATTTTGATAGAAGAATAAGAGTCTGCATTCGTACTAAAGATGGCCTTTTTGATCATCATATTTAATTCGATTTAAATGCCTGTTTGTTTATCTTTGATTTTAAAGATAATGTAATCGTATTTACAAATATCGAAAAAGTGAAAACAAATTAAGAAATAAAAAATAATTTAAAAATTACGCAAAATAAAAAAATTAAAAAAATAGAAAAGAGGGATGCTAAAGCGGATATAACTCGGAACGACTTATTTCCGGACCTATGTTTATAGTTTTTTTCCTTTTTTTTGGATTCTCAATTATTTCTCGAAGTATTGTGTGTGGGCAATTTTCCTGACATCCTGTATACATATATATATATATTATATTTTATAAAATTTAACATAAGTGCGTAATATTTTTCATATTTCTTTATAAAATATCTATAACACAAAATCATAAAAAGAATAAACTGTTTAATCGCGCGTGAAAACGATTCTGATTCCTTTCCAAATAATCGATAAATAAATTTTCTTTTATTGTAATGTCGTGCAAAAAATGTGCTTATAATTGAGAAAATAAATAATAGAAAAATGATATCTAGTAAAGAAACCAGAATCGTAGCGCAACAAGTTTACATGACATAGTAGTTAGTACGATTGATGTATAGTGTATTTATTACAAGGATTTAAAGGACAGAGAGGATTAGAAAATGCGTTTAAAAGGGAAGGACATTATAGTGATAGAAATATAAACATTACGCGTGTGTGTGTGTGTGTGGTGTGAGTGATCATATACATATATACATATAATCAACAATTAATATAAACTACTTCTACTTAATCCACATATAGCAATTCTACAATACAAACAGATACATATGTGCACACACACACATATATGTGTATACACATGTATGTATATATATATATATATATATATATATATATATATATATATATATATATATGTATATATATACACATTTGACTCGTGTATGTGTGTATGTGTAAGTATATAAAAAGAGAAATTTATTGTATATGTCAATTAATAAAAACTTGAACTAAATATATTATACTAAGATATGAAGACTGTGGGCGAGTGTTTCGGTAAACGTACGGGCAGGGCCTGGCTATTTGCGCTCGCTCCAGCTACTGCCTCCGCCACACTGTCGCTACAGGCGCAGGGCGCAGGGCGCGCTAACAGAGGCTCTGGCATATCTGCTATCACATGCCACCGCCTCAACGGACCAACGTTGTTGGTAGTCTGATTAGCTTGAGCGTGCCAGCGTAGGGGACTCTATTCTGGCAACAACGACCTGGCCAGCCAGCCCGGATGGCGTACAGCGCAGCGCAGTAGGACTGATATCCAGTATGTAGGTAGGTAGATAAAGTAGTAGAAGTAGTAGATCCCGATTTGGCCCAAGACTTGGCCCTTCACACGCGATTGACGGACGGACGGACGGATAGAGGCACGGCGTCGCGGCCTGCGCAGACAATGCAAACCAGTGCACCACCGAACAAAGAGCGGCGGCGGGCACCCCCGACATGCTTTGCATTACCCAGCGTGGGCCTGCGCGCAATGTGCCTCTGCAATACAAACAAAGATCCAACCGCGTTAGCTGTATGGCTATCTTCCAACCATCCTCCTGTGTTCAATGTGCTCTTTTGCTTGTTTCTGTTTTGCTCTATTCCTCTTCTACATTTCTTCATTTGGAACACAATGTGTCAAAACTGTAATGTTCCGTTTAATGATGATCTATATAAAAGTAACCTAATCTTAACTGACAATAGATTTTTGTGCAATATATATTAAGAGAAATGTATGTTGATCAAGATTTTCTTATGTAACTTTAGTAGAAATATCTTTTGGTTACTGTTTTAGCATTAAACATATACACATTTTCACACTTGGCTTGTCTAGTGTCATTAAAGGCTGTAAACAATATTAATTCATATACATTTTCTAGTTAATTTTGTTTTTATATTATTCTATGTGTGTGTAGTTTAACTTCATAAAGCTACTAAATACACTAAATTTGTAATCATTTTCACATTTTTACAGTTTAAACTATTATTTTTCAATCTACAAGTTTAACGGAACATTACATTACACAATTCAAATTTGTAGAATTTTTGGTCAGAATAGAGCAGTGTAAAAAAATAATAATTTTTGGGGAAAAATTAATATCGTGAAAATTAGCCGTGAATTTTTGTTTTCCGTGTTGTAGAAAGATAACTGATAATACACGATATCATTTCAATGTAACATAATTAAATTACTCACCAAGGCCGCGTGCAGCAACATCAGTAGCAACAAGAATTGGTGCTTTTCCCGATCTAAAATCTATGAATTAGCAAATGTGTATATTATATATTAATAAATACTTATTATATATTATATATAAATATTATATTATATTATATATTATATATAAATATTATATTATATGTAAATATTATATATAAGTAAATATGCATACATGTATTTATTTTGTCTAAATTTTATTTTGTTAATGTTGTGCTTTTTCTCTATTCTCTATAAAATATGTTTATATGTACCTTGTAAAACCCAATCTCGTTCTTGTTGTGTCTTGTCGCCATGAATGCAAACTGCCGGCCAACCTTCACGTTTCATCTTTCTTGTTATTTCATCTACTCTACGCTTTGTTTCAATAAATACTATAGTTTTGTTTTCACTTTCAGCCATAATCTCTTTTAATAAGGTACTTAATCTAAAAGAACAGGTTGTGTAAAACAAGTCTTTGAGATTCCTAATAATTACAATACTACATATACAGTGACCATAACAATAACTGACAATAACTTCTGTTGATTAAGTCAAAAAACTTTTTTAAACTCATACTCACTTAGTCTCTTTTTCATATTCCTGACATACATCGATTATTTGTAATATATTGTGATTTGCTGCAAGTTGTAAAGAACCGACATTAATTTGAGCATAATCTTTAAGAAAATCTTCAGCCAAATTCTTTACTTCTTTAGGCCATGTAGCTGACCACATTAATGTTTGCCGGTCCGGTCTAATTTGTTCTATGATCTTCCTGATCTGTGGCTCAAATCCCATGTCCAACATTCTATCAGCTTCATCTAACACCAAATATGTACATCTTTTCAAATTTGTCTTTCCAGACTCAAGAAAGTCTAATAGTCTACCAGGTGTAGCAATAACTATTTCTACACCACCATCCAGATCTCTAGCTTGTGCGCCCTTTGGTGCTCCGCCATACAGACATGTATTTCTTATACCAGATGAGTGCCCAAAATCATCTGCAACTTGCTGAATTTGTTGAGCTAGTTCTCGCGTAGGTGCCAATACCAATGCAATAGGTCCATCTTTACGGCTTAATTTTGGCTGGCTATTGATGTGAACTATTGCAGGTAATATATAAGACAGTGTTTTCCCAGAACCAGTAGAGGCAATGCCTACCATATCTCTACCGCTCAATGCAATAGGCCATCCTTGAGCTTGGATTGATGTAGGTTCGTTAAACCCTTGTCTTCTATAATTTGAAATACATCAGATTACTTGAAAAAGTGTGTCACAAGTTAATAAATACAAAGGACATAGGGATAAGCATGTATGTGCTGCTCTCAGCCGGATCTGGTCAAGATTTTAACTGTAAATTACCACTAATACAAATGTTATATCTCCACAAAAGCATATTTCCCAAATATTGTTTTATGAGAGTTATGGGGATATAAAGAAAGAACGAAAACAATTTTTTTTCTCGATAACGGCTTGACCGATTTTAATAAAAACAATATGATATAAACTTCAATGGGATAATGTTTAAAAAAACTTAAAGAACAATTTCGTCCAATAGAATTTTTTTTAGTGTTAAACTTTCGAATTTCTTTTAATCATCGAGACACTACTTTCATTTTTTAATACAAAAANCTTACAATACTATAGTTTTCAATACTACTATATTCAATACTATATATAGCTTTCAATACTACTATATTCAATACTATATATAACAAAAACTTTTCAAAATGATAAAAATACATAGTTAAACAAATTAAAGTTGACACGTTTAAACACAAAATATTGTTAATAACACTCGTTCTTCGAAGTTTGGTAAAACAATTGTTGCTTTATCTTTAGTTTTTTTTTTTTTTTTTTTTTTTGGCCACGTACTGTAAGTACAAACTTATCGCAGGACCCAGGACATTTAGGATTTTTCAATGATACAGACAGTTTTTACTATTATAAGTCAAATCACGTATGGCAAAAAAGTCGAAAGCAAATATTTTTAGCTGAAAAGAATATGCTCGAGAGGAAACTACAAGATACAAGAGAAATGTTAATAGAATATATATATTATTAAAGATATAGAGCGAAATAAGCTCAAATAATAATAAATAACGTTATTATTATTAACGTTATTTATTATTATTTGAGCTTATTTCGCTCTATATCTTCAATAATATATATATTCTATTAACATTTCTCCTGTATCTTGTAGTTTCCTCTCGAGCATATTCTTTTCAGCTAAAAATATTTGCTTTCGACTTTTTTGCCATACGTGATTTGACTTATAATAGTAAAAACTGTCTGTATCATTGAAAAATCCTAAATGTCCTGGGTCCTGCGATAAGTTTGTACTTACAGTACGTGGCCAAAAAAAAAAAAAAAAAAAAAAACTAAAGATAAAGCAACAATTGTTTTACCAAACTTCGAAGAACGAGTGTTATTAACAATATTTTGTGTTTAAACGTGTCAACTTTAATTTGTTTAACTATGTATTTTTATCATTTTGAAAAGTTTTTGTTATATATAGTATTGAATATAGTAGTATTGAAAGCTATATATAGTATTGAATATAGTAGTATTGAAAACTATAGTATTGTAAGCTTTTTGTATTAAAAAATGAAAGTAGTGTCTCGATGATTAAAAGAAATTCGAAAGTTTAACACTAAAAAAAATTCTATTGGACGAAATTGTTCTTTAAGTTTTTTTAAACATTATCCCATTGAAGTTTATATCATATTGTTTTTATTAAAATCGGTCAAGCCGTTATCGAGAAAAAAAATTGTTTTCGTTCTTTCTTTATATCCCCATAACTCTCATAAAACAATATTTGGGAAATATGCTTTTGTGGAGATATAACATTTGTATTAGTGGTAATTTACAGTTAAAATCTTGACCAGATCCGGCTGAGAGCAGCACATACATGCTTATCCTGCTATGCCCTTTAGAAATAAGTTAAATATTAATATCTCAATTTATGTTACTTACTTAATCTCTTTTAAAACATAATCTGGGAAACCTGCTTCTTCAAAATTAAAAACTGGATTAGGTATGTTTTTTCCTCTTAATGTTATCTCTTTTTCAGCCCTATATTGTTCCACAATACGTGGATCTCTATTTTTAACTGCTTCATGAGGAATATAAAAATCTTTTTTGAAAGGTTCCAGTCGGCTGAGATCCCATCTTGGCTTTCTCAAATTTGCCCCAGGTTGACCACGATTGTTGCGACTACTGGAAGGCCTGTCCCTTCCTCCATTGCCGCACCAGCTTCTTCTATCTCGAGGCGACCTACTCCTGGAGCGAGTGCGTGATCTACGACGTCTATCTCTATCTCGACTGCGACTAAAACAAATAATAAGTATGTACAAGTGGTCAAGTTTTTATTTGTTAGCAGAAGATTAAGAAGTAAGAAATTGGAAGTATCTACACAAGGAGCATATGTAGTTAATTAAATTTCTGTAACACACATCTGTTAAGAAAAGTAAATTGAAATATTCAATCAAAGAAAACTGTTTAAAAAAGTAAAAAAAAAAATGTGTATGTGTAAGTATGTGGGTGTACATAATTTTATACATATATATATATATATATAAAATATACACACACTTAGATATACATATATATATATATATATATATATGGTGTGTGCGTGTGTATGTATAAAACATTAAATTCATTAAAGAATTTTAAAAGCCCTAACTTTTGTGATGATAAAACGTGTATCAAGTAGTTTTTGTAACACACAAATGTTACTAGCGTTCTGTCAATTCGTTATTTCGTGTAAAGTTTACTTGTCGCAAAATATTTAACCTATTTACCTTCGGTATCGACCCATATTTACGTCTTGTCCAAATATAAACTCTTCAATATATTAAATATTGTTATTTATTTAGATATATATATACATACATATATATTTATATATATATATATATATATATATATATATATTATGTGTATATACAAATAGTTTACACTCTTTCATCCGCCATCACTTGCCAAATGACACGGAACACAAGTGGAACACGAATGTGATGAACTAAGCCCGACCAAACCAACTAGATGACGCCATGGTGGAAATATATAAAGGCTTATCTACATAAGACGCAGATGTAGTGCGTCCATAGACTTGTATCAGAGAGAAGCCTGAGTGGCATATATGTAATACTTCTATATGGCTAGTTGAGCTCTCAGCGCGGTTCCAACACTACGGTGCAGACAATGCTCTACTCTCTTTATTACTCTTTATCACTGTTCAGTTTGTTCGAAAGCGCAT